AGATTATAATTGTGATAAAATTTTATTGTTCTCGATCAAAATTTCACTGTTCATGGGTGTTGAAATTAGTGGGGGTTATCAAAATGATAATACTTAAAGAAGTGATTTTTTTGGAAGAAAATAGTCTAGAGGTATCCACTTAAACAAGTGATTTTCATGTCATTATCCCAGATTCAGTACAGGGTCATCACCTGACATAGCCGGTCATCTTATGAACACAGATGTTGGTTCTGATAATTTTAGCAACATAATTAGTCCCTGGATCATTAGTATTATATATTTAAAGCTACAACAAAATTAAATCACTTAGCATGCTTAGTCTTAGTCTAGTTATTTATTAATAATACTTAAATAGGTGATTATTAAAGAAAGACAACTCTTACTTCCAACATTTCTGGACAAATTGTTACTTGAATCAGTGATTTAAGATCACTCATTTCAGTAATGATTTGATTTCGATTTTTGGTGTTTTAACGCCACTTTTAAGCACCGCTTTTGGGCTATTTCGTGGCGGCCAGTTTTTATTGGTGGAGGAAGCCGGAGAAAACCACCGACCTTCGATAGGAAAACTGACAATCCTAGTCAATTAAGATTGAAGTCGAGTGCAGCCGCACGAGCGGGGTTCGAACTCACAACCTCAGTGTTGACTGGCTAGTGATTACAGTAGTAACTACTTTGACCACTTGGCCACCGAGGACCCCTCATTTCAGTAATTCCCCTGACTAATATATATATATAAATATAGATCATGTATATATATATATATATATAAAGTAAATATTTCATAATAGATTTATTATATTTATGAACAGAAATGCATTTATGTTACATGTCATCATGTTTTGAAAATTTTGAGGTTCAGTTACACTTCCTACATATTGTACTACATGTAATACACATTTTTTATACATGTATGTATCATAGTATGAATAAAAAGAGATGTGGGTATATGCCAATAAGACAGCAACCTAATGACAAAAATCTTCAACAGATATCCATAGGGTACACTACGTGTGTAGTATCCAATAACTTCAAAGATAAATTCAAATCATACATTTGGATTCCAGACAATAACTTTAGTTTAAGTGTATGGATCTCTATGAAATATAAGCAAAAGGTTCAATACCACAAAAGGAAGGTTGAGATTGTTTTTGGGGTGATGGTCCCAACTGTTAAGGAAATAGGGGTCAAAACAAGCATTTTTCTAGTTTTGAGGACAATAACTTGTGTATAAGTATTTTGATTGCTCTGAAATTGTACCAAAAGGTTCAATACCACAAGTAGAAGGTTGGGATTCATTTTGGGGGTAACTGCCCAAACCGTTCAGGAATTAGGGGCCGAAAAAGGGTAAATGTGATAGAACCAGCAGTCAGAAGAGAAATGTTAGAGCCAAGGAAGGAAAAGATCAAGTGGCCAACAAGTGCAGACAAAGCGATATGGAAAGCTTTCGATGAAGATCTAGAAAACATCTTAGAAGCAACATTAGCAGGAAATGTAGATAGAAAGATGAGAGCAATGACGTCCATTATTTACAGCGTAGGAAAGGACAGATTTGGGTTGATGATATCAGAGAAAGGAGAGATGACACAAGGTCAGAGTAACCGTAGACAGAGGAAGATCAAGGAACTGAGAGGGGACCTCAGAAGGGTAAAGAAGAGGTATAGAGATGCTATGGAGGTGGAAAGGTTACCTCTTCAACAGTTAAGGAAAGAAACCAGGGGAAAATTGAAAACACTTACAAGAGCAGAAACACATAGAAGAGACAGAAAGAAAAGGGCAAAGGAAAGAGCACAATTCACAGCACACCCTTTTCAGTATATGAAGAGACTATTTGGAGCAAGAGGATCTGGTAAATTGGAAAACTCAAAGGAGGGAGTAGAAAAACATCTCAGAAAGACACATAGTGATGTAAGGCGTGAGGAAGATCTGGAAGAATGTGAGAAACTGGCAACTCCAGAGGAACCGAAAGAACAATTTGATGAGTCAGAACTGAAGTTCAAAGAAGTGCAGGATGTTCTAAAGAAAGCAAGAGCAGCATCAGCACCAGGGCCAAATGGTATTCAGTATCGGGTATACAAGAACTGTCCCAAGCTGACCAGACGATTTCGGAAGCTTTTGAGAGTAGTTTGGAGACGAAGAAAGATGATAGATGCATGGTATAAAGCAGAAGGATGTTTTATTCCGAAGGAAGAGAACTCAAGGACAGTTGAGCAGTTTAGAACCATCTCCCTATTGAACATCGAGGGTAAAATCTTCCTAGCAGTTTTAGCAAAGAGGACAACAAGGTTCCTCTGCTAAGCAATGAATACAGAGATTTATCAGTTCAGAAAAGAGGCATGCCAGAAGTGTCCGGATGTATTGAACATACTAGTGTTTTGACACAGATCTTAAGAGAAGCAAAGGAGAAAAAAAGCGACTTAGCAGTACTTTGGCTAGATTTTGCTAATGCTTATGGATCCATTCCTCACAAACTGGTAGATTTGACATTGCAGAGGTACCATGTTCCAACGACCATCAGGACAATGCTGCAAGAATACTTTGATCACATTGAGATGAGATTTACAGTAGGAGATTTCACCACAGCGTGGCAGAGACTAGAAGTAGGAATATTAACGGGATGTACAGTGTCAGTAGTATTGTTTGCAGCAGCTATGAACCTCATTTTGAAGTCAGTGGAAAAACCCAGTAGAGGACCATTAATGTCATCAGGTATAAGACAACCACCAATAAGAGCATTTATGGATGACATGACTGTTACAGCAAAGACAGTTATAGAGGGAAGATGGACCTTAAAGGAGTTGGAAGGAATGATAAGTTGGGCCAGAATGAAATTCAAACCCAGTAAATCAAGAAGTTTGGTTGTGAGGAAAGGAAAAGTGAGAGATGAAACTTTCGAATTAGCAGGGGAACAGATACCAACAGTTGGAGATAATCCAGTGAAATGCTTGGGGAAAAAGTTTGACGCTTCACTAGCAGACAGCGGAAACACCAAAGAAATACACATGCAGTTAGTAGGTTGGCTGTCGAAGATAGACAAGAGTGGCCTGCCAGGAAGATACAAAGCTTGGATTTATCAACATGGGGTCTTGCCAAGGATACTATGGCCGTTATTGGTATACGAGTTTCCAGTGTCCACAGTTGAGGTTTTAGAAAGAAAGATCAGTGCGTCCCTCAGACGTTGGCTTGGCGTACCAAGAAGTTTCAGCAGCGTTGGCTTGTATAGAACAGGAACTAAATTGCAATTTAAGGCAACTCAAGGCGTTGACTGAAGAGTTTAAAGTTACATAAACACGACAGGTCATGATGTTGATGGACAGCAAAGACGCCAAAGTTAGAGGAGCAAAAGTGAAGATCCGGACAGGTAGAAAGTGGAAAGCAGAGGAAGCAGTGAAAGAAGCAGAGACAAGACTTAGACACAGTGTCATCGTCGGTGTCACGGCAGTAGGGAGACAAGGATTTGGTATGACAACTAAACCAAGATGGGATACAGCAGATGAGAAGGGAAAGAGAGATTTGGTACAGCAGGAAGTACGACAGATAGAAGAAGAGAGCGGGAACATCAAGGCGGTAGGCATGAAGCAGCAAGGTAGCTGGTTAAATTGGCAAGGAGCTAGAAGCAGGGCCTTATCCTGGAATGAGATTTGGAGTATGGAGGGGTACCGTTTGAGCTTCCTTCTGAGATCAGTGTACGATGTACTACCAAGTCCATCAAATCTCTATACATGGGGGCTGATAGAAGATCCAATGTGCACCTTATGCAAAGATAAACCAGCATCTCTACAACATGTGTTGTCATCATGTCAAGTGGCACTGAAAGATGGTAGGTACACATGGAGACATGATAGTGTACTGAAAACTATAGCAGCCAGGTTGGACATCATCAGGAGGAAGAAGAGAAAGATCAAGAAAAACATCACTTTCGTAAACTTTGTGAAGGCTGGAGAGAGCAAGGACAACACACCTGAAGGCTTCGGGATCCTTGCAACAGCAACAGACTGGCAATTTACTGCAGATATTCAGCAACGTATGAGATTCCCAGCAGAAATAGCAGCAACATCGCTAAGACCAGATATGGTACTATGGTCTCGGGGAACCAGGCAGACAGTTTTGCTGGAACTGACAGTCCCTTGGGAAGAAAGGATGGATGAATCGCACGAAAGAAAGATGGCAAAATACCAACAGCTTGTAGAAGATTGCCAACAGAGGGGATGGAGGACGTGGTGCTTTGCTATTGAAGTAGGGTGCAGGGGCTTTGCGGGACAGACAGTATGGCAAGCTCTCAGGACCTTAGCAGTGGTAGGAGCAGAGAGGAAGAAGCTTATTTCAGAAGTGTGTAGACAAGCAGAAGTGTCATCACAGTGGATATGGAGGAAGAGAGATGAGATCTGGAAAAGTGGAAATTAGAGATATGTGAATTAAGACATTTTGTGTAAATAATGGACTTGTGATAGAAGAGAAGTTATAACAGCTCTGATGAAAACACCAATCAGTGACAGTGCAGCAGTTACATCAGCTGACATATCGGGAGCAATGTAAGCCATCCAGTTTCAGGTTCAGACTGATCATCTGAGCTGGCGCACCTCTGGAGGTTGTTGTGGAATAGCGCCGAAACAGCCGAGGAAGGAGGACCCCACCTGATGTTGGAACTGGATCAGCATTATAACGATGTTTACAAGGTAATTATATTCTGGAAACCCAGTGACTACCAGGAAAGTCTGGTTTACGACTGTGAAGAGAACAGAGGCGACCTGGAGGGACTGGTACTTGGGGCATTAGGCTTGGCAGGCCAAGTTGAAAGTGCATCTCCTGTGAAGGGGAACCCACTTTACAAGCTATGGACCGATATATATTAAGACACCCTCGAGGCTGTGCGAGAGCGGGGGAGGATGAACAGCCTACAGGACAGACTCAGGATACGACTAAGGAACGGAAGACAACGAGCACGGACAATTGATGTACATGTTTTTTTGGGAAAGTCTGCAAGAATGCTAGAGGTTTGAAGATCCATCAAAGTAGAATGAAATGTGTGCCACCCCATTCTGGCAGTCAACGCACAGAGAGATCTGGTCAGACGGAGGAGGAGACCATCCAGGAAGCAAACCACAGTGATGATAACCTCCATGTGAACCAGGGTGAGGATGAACACATCGATCAGCTTACAGAGATAGAACAACTTACAGAAGGAGAAGAAATAAATGTGATAGAACCAGCAGTCAGAAGAGAAATGTTAGAGCCAAGGAAGGAAAAGATCAAGTGGCCAACAAGTGCAGACAAAGCGATATGGAAAGCTTTCGATGAAGATCTAGAAAACATCTTAGAAGCAACATTAGCAGGAAATGTAGATAGAAAGATGAGAGCAATGACGTCCATTATTTACAGCGTAGGAAAGGACAGATTTGGGTTGATGATATCAGAGAAAAGAGAGATGACACAAGGTCAGAGTAACCGTAGACAGAGGAAGATCAAGGAACTGAGAGGGGACCTCAGAAGGTTAAAGAAGAGGTATAGAGATGCTATGGAGGTGGAAAGGTTACCTCTTCAACAGTTAAGGAAAGAAACCAGGGGAAAATTGAAAACACTTACAAGAGCAGAAACACATAGAAGAGACAGAAAGAAAAGGGCAAAGGAAAGAGCACAATTCACAGCACACCCTTTTCAGTATATGAAGAGACTATTTGGAGCAAGAGGATCTGGTAAATTGGAAAACTCAAAGGAGGGAGTAGAAAAACATCTCAGAAAGACACATAGTGATGTAAGGCGTGAGGAAGATCTGGAAGAATGTGAGAAACTGGCAACTCCAGAGGAACCGAAAGAACAATTTGATGAGTCAGAACTGAAGTTCAAAGAAGTGCAGGATGTTCTAAAGAAAGCAAGAGCAGCATCAGCACCAGGGCCAAATGGTATTCAGTATCGGGTATACAAGAACTGTCCCAAGCTGACCAGACGATTGTGGAAGCTTTTGAGAGTAGTTTGGAGAAGAAGAAAGATGATAGATGCATGGTATAAAGCAGAAGGATGTTTTATTCCGAAGGAAGAGAACTCAAGGACAGTTGAGCAGTTTAGAACCATCTCCCTATTGAATATCGAGGGTAAAATCTTCCTAGCAGTTTTAGCAAAGAGGACAACAAGGTTCCTGCTAAGCAATGAATACAGAGATTTATCAGTTCAGAAAAGAGGCATGCCAGAAGTGTCCGGATGTATTGAACATACTAGTGTTTTGACACAGATCTTAAGAGAAGCAAAGGAGAAAAAAAGCGACTTAGCAGTACTTTGGCTAGATTTTGCTAATGCTTACGGATCCATTCCTCACAAACTGGTAGATTTGACATTGCAGAGGTACCATGTTCCAACGACCATCAGGACAATGCTGCAAGAATACTTTGATCACATTGAGATGAGATTTACAGTAGGAGATTTCACCACAGCGTGGCAGAGACTAGAAGTAGGAATATTAACGGGATGTACAGTGTCAGTAGTATTGTTTGCAGCAGCTATGAACCTCATTTTGAAGTCAGTGGAAAAACCCAGTAGAGGACCATTAATGTCATCAGGTATAAGACAACCACCAATAAGAGCATTTATGGATGACATGACTGTTACAGCAAAGACAGTAATAGAGGGAAAATGGACCTTAAAGGAGTTGGAAGGAATGATAAGTTGGGCCAGAATGAAATTCAAACCCAGTAAATCAAGAAGTTTGGTTGTGAGGAACGGAAAAGTGAGAGATGAAACTTTCGAATTAGCAGGGGAACAGATACCAACAGTTGGAGATAATCCAGTGAAATGCTTGGGGAAAAAGTTTGACGCTTCACTAGCAGACAGCGGAAACACCAAAGAAATACACATGCAGTTAGTAGATTGGCTGTCGAAGATAGACAAGAGTGGCCTGCCAGGAAGATACAAAGCTTGGATTTATCAACATGGGGTCTTGCCAAGGATACTATGGCCGTTATTGGTATACGAGTTTCCAGTGTCCAAAGTTGAGGTTTTAGAAAGAAAGATCAGTGCGTCCCTCAGACGTTGGCTTGGCGTACCAAGAAGTTTCAGCAGCGTTGGCTTGTATAGTACAGGAACTAAATTGCAATTTAAGGCAACTCAAGGCGTTGACTGAAGAGTTTAAAGTTACATAAACACGACAGGTCATGATGTTGATGGACAGCAAAGACGCCAAAGTTAGAGGAGCAAAAGTGAAGATCCGGACAGGTAGAAAGTGGAAAGCAGAGGAAGCAGTGAAAGAAGCAGAGACAAGACTTAGACATAGTGTCATCGTCGGTGTCACGGCAGTAGGGAGACAAGGATTTGGTATGACAACTAAACCAAGATGGGATACAGCAGATGAGAAGGGAAAGAGAGATTTGGTACAGCAGGAAGTACGACAGATAGAAGAAGAGAGCAGGAACATCAAGGCGGTAGGCATGAAGCATGAAGCAGGGCCTTATCCTGGAATGAGATTTGGAGTATGGAGGGGTACCGTTTGAGCTTCCTTCTGAGATCAGTGTACGATGTACTACCAAGTCCATCAAATCTCTATACATGGGGGCTGATAGAAGATCCAATGTGCACCTTATGCAAAGACAAACCAGCATCTCTACAACATGTGTTGTCATCATGTCAAGTGGCACTGAAAGATGGTAGGTACACATGGAGACATGATAGTGTACTGAAAACTATAGCAGCCAGGTTGGACATCATCAGGAGGAAGAAGAGAAAGATCAAGAAAAACATCACTTTCGTAAACTTTGTGAAGGCTGGAGAGAGCAAGGACAACACACCTGAAGGCCTTGGGATCCTTGCAACAGCAACAGACTGGCAATTTTGTGACGTAGTAAATATTCATTCAAAAATAGAATAGAAGAATATTTAATAAATGAAAGAATATTAAAGAAATAAAGTAAAGATTTGTTGAATTTACAAAGAAAGTTAGAATCGTAATTTAAAATAGAAAGGTTCATATTTTCAAGAAACTAAATTATATTGGTTTAAAAAGTCTTAAACAAAGTTACAACACAATATTATGTAACAGGAAATTTTATAAAACATTATCAAAAAGATTGTGACATGTTAATCCCCCTGAAATAAATTAAGCTTAAGTAATTATGAGAAGGGGCACATTTTAGACAATAAATCATTATCAATAGGGATAGCGTCCCGCCGAAGGCAAAGCGATTATTTTATAAAAAAATAATTGTCTATTGTAAAATAGTGGGAGGGAGGAGTAACTCAAATTAGTTGTAAATTGGGGAATAAATTAACTTTTGATTGGGCAAGCAATTTTAGGCTGATCTTGGCGTGACCACGTGAGGAAAAGGTTTTAAGGGATAAATTTTGATATTAAAACTTCACTTGGTCACTTGATAACAAGAATAAAGATCTAGCCTGAATTTGTGTCCATTATATTTAAGGTATGTAAAGTATACATGTTTAAAACAAATAAGTATGAATAATAATTTAACAGATTTATTTTAAATATAAAATATAACATTGTTCAAATTGAAGATAAAAGAACTTATTCGTTTAACACAAGTTTATCTACAAATTGTAAGGATTGTAGGTTTGTTGAATATTAAGTAAATTAATTAAGAAAAAAAGGCATATGATAAGTTCCGTAAATATTGCATGTGTGAGCAGCTATTGGTTTTATTTTTATTATATTAAAGGGACATAATTTGATATTGTTTAGAAAGATGCTCGTGTAAATAATACAATTTTAGAAATAATAGGAATCTAAGGAATATTTAAAATGATATTTATAGATAAGTTCAACTCTAAGATATTCAGGAAACTTAACAATAAGCAGTAAGTTTTGGGATGGCGAAAATAGATAGGTTTGGTCGATAGGAGAAAATGTTTATGTCAACGGGACACATTGATTATTGAAATCAGGTTTATCACTTTTAGTTGCTAAGATATAAGTATAAATATATTGATTGGAAGTCTTTCAATAATTATGTCTTTAAAGTCTAATCACTCATTTTTACAATAGAAGTCCTTATTTAATATGAATAGTAAAATGTACTGCCAGTTCAATTTGAGCTTGAAATGTTGAGATAATAAATGAGGATGAGGTATAGTTCTTATGGTGTTCATTGTTATACATTTAAAAATAAAATATTTAGTTTGGTAAAAAGGCAGGAACAATCCAATGTTGACTTTTGAATTTATTTTTATATGTTTTTAAAGAATTCATAAATGTGAGTTAGTTCCCTTGTTAATAGATGAGTTTGAAATCTACAGAACTTGTATTTAAAATTCAGTATATGAATGTATGTTGTTTATTTGATAATCGCATTTATGTACAACTGTAATTAAAGTTCACTTGGTCACTTGATAACAAGAATAAAGATCTAGCCTGAATTTGTGTCCATTATATTTAAGGTCCAACTATAAAAACAGATGACGATACAAAAACACCCCAAGTATCGACACAACAATTTACTGCAGATATCAAGCAATCCTTCTCACTATACAAATCCTTGCAGATATTCAGCAACGTATGAGATTCCCAGCAGAAATAGCAGCAACATCGCTAAGACCAGATATGGTACTATGGTCGCGGGGAACCAGGCAGACAGTTTTGCTGGAACTGACAGTCCCTTGGGAAGAAAGGATGGATGAATCGCACGAAAGAAAGATGGCAAAATACCAACAGCTTGTAGAAGATTGCCAACAGAGGGGATGGAGGACGTGGTGCTTTGCTATTGAAGTAGGGTGCAGGGGCTTTGCGGGACAGACAGTATGGCAAGCTCTCAGGACCTTAGGAGTTGTAGGAGCAGAGAGGAAGAAGCTTATTTCAGAAGTGTGTAGACAAACAGAAGTGTCATCACAGTGGATATGGAGGAAGAGAGATGAGATCTGGAAAAGTGGAAATTAGAGATATGTGAATTAAGACATTTTGTGTAAATAATGGACTTGTGATAGAAGAGACGTTATAACAGCTCTGATGAAAACACCAATCAGTGACAGTGCAGCAGTTACATCAGCTGACATATCGGGAGCAATGTAAGCCATCCAGTTTCAGGTTCAGACTGATCACCTGAGCCGGCACACCTATGGAGGTTGTTGTGGAATAGCGCCGAAACAGCCGAGGAAGGAGGACCCCACCTGATGATGGAACTGGATCAGCATTATAACGATGTTTACAAGGTAAAAAAAATAAAACAAGCATTTTTCTAGTTTTCAGACAATAACTTGTGTTTAAGTGTATGGATGTCTCTTAATTTGTACCACATTTTACAAAAAGAAAATTTCTTCAAAATTGGAGGGGGGGGGGTTCAATTTTTTTTCCCTCAAGATTTAAGAAATTGTCAATTTTCCAAAGAAAAAAATTGGGGGTCACAATTTATTTTGCTAATTCTTTGTATATAGTCTGAAAACAGATTAACTAAGTATTGCGCAACAGAACAGTGTATTGCACAACAGCAATAAATCTTCAATTGAATATAAATTCAAATCATACAACCAATTTCAAGTTCTTTGACTACATTTATTCTGTGTCAGAAACCTATAATGTGTCAAATATTTAATTACAATCCAAATTCAGACCTGGATCAAGCTTGAATATTGTGTCCATTTTTGCCCCAGCTGTTCAGGGTTGGACCTCTGCGGTCGTATCCAGCTGCGCTCGCCCGAAGCAGTTTATTAACATTTTTGAATAAAGTTTTATATTAAATTATTTTACATTAAGCTCTGCCAAATGTACTCCAAGTGGATAAAACTTGTATATTCACAAGTCAGAAAATACTATGAAATATGCAATTTTAGCTCTGCCAAATGCTGAAACTTGCATCATGATTCACAAGTCAGCATTAAGACATTTACTTATACAATAATATGTGCTTTTTCTTTCAGGAACATGTATAAACTAGTGAATTGATGGTTTAACTACCAAGATGTAACGAGAGATGTCAAGTAATGAACAAAAAGAAGTAACATGAAGTTAGACAATACAACTTGAGGTGTCAGAATTAGTGCAATTGTTATTTGCAGATATATAGCTGGATTTTGTCAAAATGTGAACTGTAACACTGGGATCAAATATGTTATTTTTTCTAAAAAATGATGAATTTGAGAATTAAATTTTCATATCTATTTACTGAGTTTATTGCTGCCCAAAAAGAGATTATTGCCTCTACTTTACAACTTATTTTGTCATAAATTGATTGTATATCTATTGTGACAATAAATGTTGATTATTAGGGCCCAGTAGTTGACATGAGCCCAATACAGTAGTCTCTCTGTTTGTCTGTGTGTCAATACTTCTATGTCATACAATAAGTCAAGATTGTCTCAACTAATTTAAAAAATTAATGTGCTAAATGGAAATAAATATAAAAGGAAGGTCCCTTTAGTTTTATGTAAAATTTGGGAAAAAGTGGTAGAAAACTTGGTATTTGAAAAAAAATCACAAATTTTGAGAAAACTTTTTCACAAAATTTGATATACGAGTTTTGATATGCTTTTCAATATTGGTTCCCAGTGTTAAATATTGATTTCTGTGATAATTTGGGGTAAAATTTACCATAAAGACTTATTTTTTTGTCTCGCCTGCGAATGCGAGTCAAAAGGATTAAAATCCAGTGACTGCTGAAACTATTTGCATTTAGCTTTATATTCTGTGGGTAGATGACTTTGATGCTTCATACCTTATACACAAATACTTTATGTTATGAAGTTTCTGTCTTTCATGTCGTCCTGAATATGCATGAAATATTTGTCACTGGACGTTAAGGAACCAACAATCAATCAATCAATCAATCAATCTGTCTTTTATGTGTCCATTGTCCTTGACTGCAAAATTCTGTGGCCATGTACACCTTCATTATGTGTATGAACATCCAAAAAAATATTAAAGTTGTACCTCCAAAACCGTAGGAAGAGATAGCCAGACAAACAATGTATCCTAATCCGGACAGACAGACGAACGGACAGGGGTAAATTAATATGCCCCTCGACATTTTGTCGCGGGGGCATAAAAAGGGCCATTATAGTTGGTGTATTAAATGATTGTTAGGTGTACATGTTTGTCTGGCAGGTTTCATATGACAATGTATGACCTTGAACACATGTTCACTATTCATTGGTCAATGTTTAGTTTTAACGGTTTTGTCAGTTAGTCAGATACTACAAGCAACATGTAAACAATATTTGCTGTATGCAATGATTGTACATAAGGTGTCTATTTGGTATGGTTCATCTGACCTCATTTTCATGGATGATTGATATTTGTTAAATGTATGTGATACTTATAGTAAAAACTTCATATTACAGACTTCGCCTGTCCGAAGTCAGGAGCCTGGAGTTGGTTAAACGTTTCACACAAAAACTTACGACTAAGATTGTTTGTAAGTCATGAACAATTCAGTATACTTACGGTCTTAGTCGTAAGTTTTTTTGTGAAACCGACTCCTGTAATTCAGTTTTTATACGCCCGTTTACGGGACGTATTATGGTATACCATTGTCCGTCTGTCCGTCCGTCCGTCTGTCCGTCCGTCCGTCGTCAACATGTCGGACATTAATTCAAAAACGCTTTAACCAATATGCATGAAACTTTGGTGAATTGTTTATATCTATTGACGTGAGCTCCCTTTCGTTTTTTATAAATTTCAGATTTACCATTTCTGAGTTTTGGGGTTTTATTCATTAAAAAAGGGGGGATTTTCCAGTTTTCGGACAATAACTCAAAAACAATTTCACCAATTTGCATGAAACTTTTTGTGAATTGTTCATATCTATTGACGTGAGCTCCCTTTTGTTTTTTATAAATTTCGGATTTACCGTTTCCGAGTTTTGGGGTTTTATTCATTAAAAAAGGGGGGATTTTCCAGTTTTTGGACAATAACTCAAAAACAATTTCACCAATTTACATGAAACTTTTGTGAATTGTTCATATCTATTGACGTGAGCGCCCTTTCGTTTTTTATAAATTTCGGATTTACTGTTTCCGAGTTTTGGGGTTTTATTCATTAAAACAGTGGGGATTTTCCAGTTTTCAGACAATAACTCAAAAACAATTTCACCAATTTGCAAAAAAACTTTGGTGAATGGTTTATATCTATTGACATGAGCTCCTTTTTGATTTTTATAAATTTCAGACTTTACGTTTCCGATTTGTGGGGTTTTATTTATTACAAAATGGGGATTTTCCAGTTTTCGGACAATAATTCAAAAATGCTTTCAGCTTTTTTTATGAAACTTTGGTAAATTGTTTATATCTATTTTTGTAAGCTCCGTTTTGATTTCCATAAATTTTCGATTTTACGTTTCCGAGTTATAAGATTTTATTTGTTTTTTGTCTGACAACAGATTTACTAAGTATTGCGCAACAGCACAGTGTATTGCACAACAGCAAGAAATCTTTCATATAACCAATTTCAAGTTCTTTGACTACATTTATTCAGAAACCTATAATATATCAAATATTTTATTACAATCCAAATTCAGACCTGTATCAAGCTTGAATATTGTGTCCATTTTTGCCCCAACTGTTCAGGGTTGGACCTCTGCGGGCGTATCCAGCTGCGCTCAGCGAAGCAGTTTATTGTTATTTGTTGCTTTATATCTTATTTGTTTTTCGTTCATTATTTTGTACATAAACCAGGCCATAATTTTTCTGAATTGTTTTACATTTGTCATTTCGATGCCTTCAATAACTGACTATTCGGTATAGGTTTTGCTCATTGTTGAAGGCCGTATGGCGACCTTTAGTTGTTAATTTCTGAGTAATTTGTTCTCTTGTGGAGAGTTGTCTCATTGGCAATCATACCACATCTTCTTATTCTTATATTTTCAACATAAATTTAGTCACAATATTAAGTAAAGCAGGCAAGACATTTCAGTGTCTGCATTCTTGTGTTTAAAAATTAGAAATTTTGTAAAGCATCTTTTTTGTGCTAAGTTTTCAACAAAAATATATAAAGAGGTATACTATGCTATCCAAAAGTGTCACATTCTCGATTGATTATTATGAAAATTGGGAAAAGATTGGAGTAAAAATAAACTTTTGTCGAAAATTTTACAGATTTGAACACACAACTTTTTGCTTCAATTACAACAAAATTCAAGATCTATGTAAAATGAATACTATAATATGCTTTTCCATGTAATCTTGGTGCAAGATTTGTGGTTAAATTGGAGGATATAATGAAATTGTCTTCTTATGCTAACACTTTTTATTAGTAAACTTAAGAACATTTTGTAAAATGATTGTTTAAAAATGTATTTTTTATGTTTTTCCTTTGTTATACCCACCATTTTTTTTTTTTGTATTGTTTGTATATATGTAAATATTGTATTCCTCTTGTTACACGTATGTATTGTGTCTGAGTGATCAAATAAAAGTTGAAAAGATGTACAAAGTCAAAATACAAATTATAATTTGTACATTTTTTTGGTACAAATTTGTACAAAATCAAAATTGTACACAACATATATAAAAGGTGTTTCTGTTAAGGTCGTATGGACCTAGGTCTATCCTCATCAGGTATCCCTAGCCATATGTTTTCCTTTTTGTGATATTAAGAATTGTTCGAATTTGAATTTTACGTATATATGGGGATAAAGTTCCTGTACCCCCATGCGTACATGTATATCAAATTCAAATCAATTATCAAAATAACAAAAAGGAAAACATATGGCAAAGGATTCCTGATGAGGATCATAATTAATACCGTTTCGATCCCTAACATCACTGAAGAGAAATCCGGATATGGTGTATAAAATGTTTTGCACATCATGTTTGCGATATATCATCTTTTCGCAAGTTTATTGATTTCTGTTTGGTATTAAAATTAATAATTAAGATCCATGTAACATCTGGTGATCAATTTATTTGGCAATCGCCAATGCCAGTCAGCAGGGTTTAAGAACATCAGTTGTTCGACCTGTTAGTCAAATGCGTTTTGTTAAGATATACTTTTCACTTTTTTGGTCTTTTGGAAAATGTTGGTTGTGCTGTATTTAGACCCCTCTACCGAGAAATTTGTTTTACATGCACACGTATAAAAATTGCGGTTTTTATCCAACGCAATCATAGGTTTGAACGTTGTTTTCAATTTAGAGTTGTTTATATATATATATATATATGTCTCTGCTAAGGCCTAGCTAGGTCCATACAACCAGTTAAATAATAAGATCCCTTTTCAATTCCTTGTTATTTGTTTTAAGCTAAAATGAAATAAAAAGTTAAACAACAACTATTATTTTTAATAGATTCTTCTTGTTCAAATTGTAAAAACCTCGACAATCTATTTTTCTTTGTTGTTTATAAGCATGTTTTCCCCTGTTATTTACCCAAGAATTAATGAGTTTGGTATATTTATGTTTCAATCAAGATCCGACTTCAGTCTGACGTTTAACGCCATTTTCAACTGGTACCGTATGTGGACGTTCGACAAACCGGGAACCGAAACGTTCAAGTTCAAGGCCATCATTACCTCATACCGACCGTTAATATTTGTATATTCCGAAGGCATACTGGATATTTTACGGAGGGAACCAACCTATCCAAACCACAACTTTAATCTCAATCTCCTCCTTCATAATAAGAATTTGTGTTCAGAAACTTGAATTATATGAAATAAATGTGTGTGGTGCGTGCATATTATAAACTATATAGTGTAAGGAGCTTTCGTTGTTGTTATTTTAATGGTTATTTCAGCCCAACCGTCAAAAATCGTCCCGCGTCAGTGCAAAAAAGGGTGGACTGATAAAATATCAATAAAGTGCCACAATCGGTCGATTTCAACACTAAAACTTAATTATATCAATTTATCATAGTTTATTTGTTGTACTTTCTAAAACATTTGACATTAAAATGATAACGTGTGATATTATCATATTTTCAAAATACCGCTACGGTTACTAGATGCATCTAAAAGTCGTTATTATGGGCGGGACCAAATTAACATAAATAAACTTCCTGTAGTCCCTCGAACGTGATGAAAAATGTTTACAGTAGAAAAAATAGTTTGCATCTGTCGTTTCATGGACATTTACACCAAAAGGTATTGCTTTTTCCTTTAGAATTGATATGAAAATGTACTGGGAAATTCCTTTATGCCTTCAAGGGTTTACAGAACCCTGCTTACGTTCACCACATCAACTGAGTATATCAGTCATACAGTCATACTGCACATAGGCTACTGTCATAGGTGATAGCATATTTTGGCAGTAGTATAAAGTGAAAATATAGGGACACTATTAATTTACAAGTTAAAGGCGTGTTCTTAGGGGACGACCATTTGATATTCTGGGGGGGGGGGGGGGGCAGCCTTGATAATCACAAAAATAAATGGTTTGTTCTGTGGTAGTTTGAAAATAAATTACCTGACTTGCAATGTATTGAAAATAAATAACTCAGCAGGTCTAATCGAAAGTATGAGATGGCACCAGATTCTTCAAAAATTCATCTTTTTTCCAAAAAAAAAATCGGGAAACACTTCCCATATCTTTTAATAATAACAGTATAAATATTATTTAAATATACTTGAAATGTCAGAAAATTGGTTTCATTTAACTTGAGGTTAATTGTCTCAGGAACACTTACCTCACTTTTATTAAATCAAGGCCGTAACTACATTGAGACAAATGCCTCATGTAGGAAATTTCAAAACCAAACGCTTATCTCCATATCATATTGTGTTCACCGTGAGTGCCTTGCAAAAAGCAAGTTCTGTTCTCCCTCAGACGTAGCCCCTGATTTTTCGGGATCAATGTTTCTTATTTATTTGTCTTTTGTTCATTGATTGCCCTTCTGTATTCTGTTAGTGTTGCATTCATTTTGTAATTTAGTAATTTTATTATTAACTTGATCATGAGCTTAAAAAAACACAGCAGCCACAGACTTAACTATGTGAATTACATTTTTTGCTTTATCATGCATACATGTATTTGTCTTTTGATGTTGTTCCTAGAAACTTAAGTCTCACACTGAATCTATAACGTGATTTTGCTTTGAGACCAAAATATTGTCATAAAATTATTAAAACAGAACTTGCATTTTCAGTTTAAGAAAGGGTCTGGGGAACACCCAGAAGGCATGATTTTGCATCATTTGTTCTATAGCTTCTTGGGCCTTCAGCGGTTCAAAAACCCTTCAAAAAAAATTTTGCCTCGCTCCGCTCGGCGAAACATGTTTGCCAATACTTTTAAAAGAGCCTTAGTTACAACCAAACTTTAATACTGTATATGTATGCAATACATGTATATGCATTGGGGAATAAAGAAGATTCATTTCTGAAGAGGATAATAATTAATTCTGATTAAATGGTACATAATGACTCAACTATACATGAATTATTTATAATAAATAAATAATTTAAAAATTGTATGTTTTTCAATATTATAAATATAGTTGTGAAAATAAATAATCAGTCCCTTGCTTTAATGAAAATGAAAAATCTTGCTTCAATAGTGCAGAAAATAGATAATCTGTCCTCTTAGTTTACAAAAATAAATAACCGATCCAAAACAAATCCTCCTGCCCCCCCCCCCCCCCCCCAGAATATCAAATGGTCGTCCCCTTACTATCATATATTAAGACTGTCTATCTCTCCAATTTTTTGGTATACCTCAGGCCTGTACCAAAGACTACAGGAGATAGTTACATTTGTATATGTGTATATATGTGCTTAAAAATGTGGGGGGTACGTAAGGGTACGATTTCAGTCCGACTAATTCAGTTAATGAAATAAAAAATATATATTGCCGTCTTCAGTATAAATCACAAGCGCTCGTCCCAGACCAGTATAATTTTTCTGAGGCTTAACTGCCCAAATGAATAAAAAGAGAAATTTTATGAAAGACTATTTTTCAGGCTTTGTTGTCAAAAAGTGTTCCACAATACACAAAATCTCTAAATTAACACTCATAAACAAAAACCAAAAAGAAAAGAACGGTCCATTCACATGTACATGTATGGAGAATTTGAAACTAAAATTAGGCACTTCATCAAAGAAATACCAAAATAGTCAAAAATTTTATGTTGTCATGGTCAAACATTTGATATTCTTGGGATGGCTACATGTCTACTAAAGTACATAATTAATCCTTGTTACCCCAATACAATCAACCGGTTATGTACTTGTATAGGATGCATAATGTGCCAATGCGGACTTTAAAATTCTGAACTTTTTCTGACCAGACTCCATATTCTACATAAATTCATGTGTTGTATTTTATTATTTTTGTGATGTATTATGAACTGTGTAATTTTGTTAATGTTCATATATATATATATATATATATATATATATATATATATAAGTGCCTATAAATAGCAGCACATGACATACAAATCTATGGGAGTGTGGATTAATCAGTACAGAGATTAATTCAATTACACAAATAAAATTATAGATTGCCTAACAATGTAATTTTAACACACTATTTAGTATGTAAATATAAGAATGTTTAAAATATTTACAAAATGATGAAAATAAACGCAATATTTCGCTAGACTAACTAGCTTTATCAAGCGTGCATCTATCCAGGTGAAATCGGATGTAGATGATAAGAAACTTTTGCAGCTCAATGTATATGTTGCACTTGAATTTAGCTGCCTTGAAAATAATACATAATTTGGATGAAGTTCAAGATTTTTACAAAATTGGTAGTTGAAGTTAGCAACGTCCATTGGCCAATATTACAGGATAAAAAGGACGATGCTGTGTACTAAATTATTCTTTATCTTTCCTGTATCTTTTCTCATCTTTTTCGTTAAGACCATCAGGTTCTAAAGTGTGGAGTTGGTGGATCCAATAATTTTCTCTTCTCCTTCTCGCCGTGGTGTCCCATTCGGTGTTGACTTCTATGATTTGGAAGGTAACATTATCAAAAGAATGTTTCGTTGAACGAAGATGTCTTGTGAGAGGACAGTTTTTGTTGGTTTTGTACCGTGAACGATGGTTATTGAGCCGAATATTAAATTTGTCCATTGTTTCTCCCACATACTGAATGCCACATGTGTCACATGTTAATATATAAATTGAGTTCTCCGTTTTACAGTTGGAATTAGAGTAGATGGTATAATTTTGTTTAGTAACGGAGCTGATGAAAGAACTGCTTGTATTGGCAGCTTTACAACACAAGCAGTTCCTTCGACCACATTGTTTGTAGCAACCGGGAGATGGAGTAGGCTGCTTTGCTAATACAGATGTCACTAATTTGTCACGGATGTTTTTAGGTCTTCTGAAGGCCATGACTGGTGGTGAGGAAAATACTTTTTTAAGATTTGAATCATTTTCTATAATTTTCCAATGCTTCTGAACAATGGAAGACACATTTTTAAAATCAGGATGGTAAGTGAGTACAAGGGGTGTTCTGTTAGCTGCTTTATTCTTATCTTTGTACTCTAGAAGTTCTTGGCGACTAGTTTTGTTTGCTCTTTCGAAAGCGCTATCAATGATGTTGTTATTGTATCCTCGAACAACTAGATGTTTACGTAGTTGTCCAAGTCTAGCATTTTGCGTATATTCAGTAGAGCATATTCTCTTGATTCGCAATGCCTGGCTGAATGGGATGCCACGGGAGCAGTGTTTAGGATGGCAACTTTTAGGAGAAAGGAATTGATGTTTGTCCGTTTGTTTGGTATGAAGGTCCGTTATAATGGTTCCGTTCTTGATGTAACTCGTAGTGTCGAGGAAGTTTATTTTCTCCATAGATGATTCATATGTAAATTTTATTTAATGGTGGAAAGAGTCACAGTGTCCTAGAAATTCATTAAGATGTTCTTGTGAATCTGTCCATTTGAAATCAATATCGTCAATGAATCGGAACCATGATAAGGGCTGGTATGGAGCACTAGCCAAGAGGCGTTTTTTCAAGTTGGCCCATAAATATGTTGGCATATGACGGGGCCATTTTTGTGCCCATACTAGTACCGTCTATCTGGAGATAATGTCTTTCATTGAAAGAGAAGTTGTTGTTCTCTAGCACTAGTTTCAGAAGTGTAACAAGGCACTCAGTTGGAGGATTTTTTTCACTACGAGTGTTCCATACCTCTTCACACGCTGCTATTCCTTCGTCTTGTGGAATGTTGGTATATAAAGAAGACACGTCCATGGATGCAAGTATAGTATTGCTTGGTAGAGGATTGAGGCTTTCCATTTTCTTTAGATAATCAGTCGTATCTTGGATGTAAGAGGGTAGTTCTTTCACATGAGGTCGTAGATGATGGTCTAAAAATTCTGATATCTTTTCAGTTGGATGACTATTTGCTGAAACAATTGGTCGACCTGGATTGCCCGTTTTATGTATTTTAGGCAACATATAGAATCTTCCGGCCTTTGCTTCGTTCTCAAGAGGTCGGAGATAATCAAAGGTGTCATTGTCTATATGCTTTTTGTCGAACATCTCTTGAAGGATGGTGTTGATCCTTCGAATATTATTTAGTGTTGGATCTGTGGTTAATTGTTTATAAAAAATGGAGTTTGAAAGTTGGCGATTTCCTTCTGCTATGTAATCTGTTTTATTCATGACAACCACAGCGCCCCCTTTGTCGGCAGGTTTTATTACGATATCCTCTTGATCTTTTAACGCTTTCAAAGCAATGCTTTCTGACTTGGATAAATTATAATTTCTTGTATTTGTTATACAGGACTTTATATCAGACCTCACGTAGTTAATGAATGACTCCAAGTTGTCATTTTTACTCTTAGGTGGTTTCCATGAACTTTTTTTCTTAAATTTTGGGATGGGCGTGACTTCTTCATTGGTGTCAGTATCTGAATCTGTTAATCCAGCTTCTTCAAGGTTTTTCTTGCCCCTATTGTAGAAAAAATCTTTCAAGCGTAAACGTCTAGCGAATAAGTCTAAGTCCTCGTCTAGCTGAAAGTTATTTACATTTGATGGGATAGGACAGAAGTTTAAACCTTTACTTAAAAGAGATTCTTCAGCACGTGTAAGTTCTTTAGATGACAAATTTACAACAATGCTTTCAGTTTTTTGTTTCCGTCTTTTGAATTTTCTTTTTCTAGGGACCTTATGGTTTGTTGTATTGATATCA